GTATAATTGTGAATTTTAGTTAAAATATATGTTATTAAACAATTATTCGTTACTAAGAACATTATTTTTTACAGATACCTTGCTTTTTTATCGTTCCGGTTTTGGTGAAGCTGCATTTGGCTGCGCCACTCACCACCCGTGTTTATAAGACGTAATATTCAATTGGAGGTAAAAGAGTTTATATTAAACAATTATTTGTTGCTAACAACATTATTTTTTTTCAGATACCTTGCTTTTTATCGTTCCGGCCACCAGATTCGTTGGTTTTCATAAAGTTTCATTTGGCAGTACAAAATGTTGACTCGAAATGCTGAACAAGTTTTGAGAATTTTCCTAATTTTAGCGAAAATGCGTAAATTAAAACTGCGATTAAAACAGAAGCGCCGATTTTGGGTTCGGAAATTGTACTTAGAGCGACACAAATGTGGATTGTTTGAAAGTTCATTAAGAAACTTGGCTGCAGATGAGGAGCAGTTTAACAAGACATTAAGAATGCCCTTTTCGTTATTTAATGTGCTGCACGAATTTCTGGAGGCTTCGCTGACCAAATATTCAATCAGAACACCAATATCGAGCCGCTGCAGGCTATTTATAACCCTGATGTAAGAGAAAATCGGTTTTACTTAATAGTACACGTATAATTTTCCATATATGTATCTGGTTTTATTTTTTTGTTGCAGATATTTGGCTCACGGTGGCACTCGGCAATTCCACACAATAGTTCACAGGATCGGCCTGACGACTTTCAGGAAGATTACGTTGGAGACATGTATGACCATATGGGATCTGTTAGCTGACCTGTATGTGGCGACCCCGTCAGAAACGGAATGGGGACGTATTTCCAATGAGTTCAAGTCGCTGTGGAATATGCCCAACTGCGTTGGTTCCATCGACGGAAAGCACATTAATATTACCTGTCCAGCGAATTCAGGGTCGATGTACTATAATTACAAAGGCAATTATAGTATCGTGCTTTTGGCCGTATGTGATGCCAATTATACCTTTACCTGCGTTGACATCGGAGCATATGGAAGTCAAAGCGATGGCGGTGTCTACCGCTTTTCAAAACTGGCAGATGCTATTGAAAATGATAGGCTCGGCCTTCCACATGATCAGCCTCTGCCAGGAGAAACCGAGCCATTTCCACATTATTTAGTAGGAGATGCTGCTTTTCCCTTACGGCGTTATTTAATGCGACCATATCCGGGTAGAGGTATTCCAGAAGAGCAAGAGTATTTCAATAAAAGACTCTCTCGTGCAAGAAGAGTTATAGAAAACGCATTTGGAATACTTACTGCCAAATGGAGAATATTGAGAACGACGCTATGCATGGCCCCGAAAAATGCAGAACAAATAGTGAAAGCTTGTATTGTCTTGCATAATTTTATTAAGCTTTCGTGTGCAAACTATGTAGCAAGCGATTTTGTTGATCGCTACGAAGAGGATGCCACCATCGCTGGCTCATGGCGAAACGAAGTAGTTCCATTGCCCTCAATAAGTAGGGTGTCATCGAACCGAGGCAGTTCAAATAATTATGATTTAAGGGATGCTCTGAAGACACATCTTTTTAACAATAAAATTTAAATAATTACTACTCACTGAATATGCTTTGTTTTTATTATTTAAGATAGAAAACAAAAATTTGAACTCACAGTATGAGGGCACTTATTGGTAATGTTTTAAATGTCGTCACATCTTTCAGGTTCGATTACATATTTATTACATATTACTACATTACATATATATATTATATATTACATATATATTCGATTACATATTTAATTCGCAAAATCAAAATCAGATTTCATACTAAATTAGATTACATATAAAGTTCGCAAAATTGAATTCAAACTGGATGTCATTTAAATTTTTAAATTTCGTAAATTCAATTTTTATAATTTTTATATTGAGCATAGACGTATTGAAGTACGTCCATTTGAAAATCTAGGCGGCTCTCTTCTGGGACCTTCTCAAACACTTCGCCAATCGCACCCAAGAAATTGTTGTGTGTTTTTTTTTGACTATCCACAAACTGACTTACTTCGTTGACTAGATCGTTAAAGGCGGCGTTCTCATCGTTTTTTTCTTTTGTCTCTTAGCCGGCGTTGGGGCAGTGGTTTCTTGCTCTTCTATTATAATGTTCCCACTCTCGCCTATTTGGAATCCAAAGGAAGTATCCAGTATATCTGGTTCTTGTCCGAGAACTTCTGGCGTTTGGGAGACGATGTTTGTTGTTGTCCTTAAAATATGTACATATAAATTACAATTTAAAATATAAATACTTGTTGTACAAATGTAAAGTACACTTACTGTCTGGGCGTGACCGTGTCTTTCAAAAACGACGCAGCACTTCCGCTAGGTTGTTGATCAACCTTCAATTCTATTCCATATCGGTCTCTTAACGATTTCCATCGCTTTCGGCAGTTTTCCTCTGTAAAGTAAAAATATAGTATTCGTCACAATTATTCGTCACAAATTTGTTATAATTTGGTTCGTCCTATTACAAAACTGCTATATGTTTGAAAAACTCTATACTAACCAGGATGTCCCACAGCAGCAGCTACATTTCGCCAAGCCAAATCTTTCTTCACCCGATCGCGGTAACTAAGCTGTCGTTTGTCCCACAAGCAGTTGTGTTTTTCAATCTCTGCTATAAGTTTTTCTTCGAACATCTTGCACTAAAGCTTCCGATATACCAACCAACACACAAGAATCGGATAATACAGCAGCCGGAACGATAAAAAAGTAAGGTATCTGTAAAAAATATTGTTGTTAGCAACAAATAATATTATTAATAACAAATAATTGTTTAATATAAACTCTTTTACCTCCAGTTGAATATT